ATATAAGACCAGAGATATCACTCGATACACTGTAACGTTCTACTCTAGTACCCCCTATATGGACTTTTACGTTCACTCGATATCTCGACAGGTTCGCCTTTACCAGAGATGCCAATCATGGCTGCATCTTATTCAGCGAGAAGACACAGGAGGAGGAGGAACAAGAAAATAGTCTAGCGCCGCTCTAGGATTTTGGAATTCCGGCAATTAAAGTTCCGCTGGACGAAACTTTTTTAACGAATTATATGAGGGAACTGACATACTCTGGATGGGTCTACTAAAATTCGCATTGAAATTAAAAAGTCAGCCGCTTTGTCGGTAGGAAATTGGCAACTCGATACTCCAAACTGCTCGGTTGATTATCGGCCGTGAATTGAATTAAATTGGAGAAAGGGGATGTTTGGAATTAATCGACTACCGATTAACCCAGAATTAAGTCCAATCCATCGAGCTTTCTCGATTAATCGTTTGCGACTCGCCGTAGAACGTGTGCGTTCTAACAAATATACGGCAGCGGCGCTGCCGTCGCCGCCGCGGCTGTGCCCTCACGGTTTTGTTACGCCCCTGGGCACGATAATTTAGCAGAAAAAAGGCCAAATATTTTTCCAGTCTGCATTAATTCTCAGCCTGTCCGGGACTTTGCGGTATATCTGTATAACATATACTACGCACACATATGTAATGCACCCATAACGTATACTATATCCTATACTCTATTCCGAACTATACACAAAATACAGGCACACCAGCGCGACTATATTACCTTATCATTTAAACAGGAATCTCAATAATAGGATCGATACTTTAGCCAGGGAATATCCCTCGAACCGAAGCTTTTTCCTTATATTGAAAATCAGAATTAAACGACCTCTCGAGTCTTTCAATTCAATTCCCATTTTTACTTCGGCTGGTACCTTCAATTTTCGATGTACCCTGTCGCGTGTTTAAATCTTCCCCTACGAAATTACTCGACATTCGAGAAAGGTATATTAGTATCGATATATAAAATATACAAAGATTCGGAGAAATTTTAATTCTAAATTAGGAATTCAATGCGTACTAACAATAGAGATTCGTAGCCAACTGTAGGTTTGTCTTTTTATTTTTTTTTATATTCGATCATCCGTTATAACCTAGAAAACTCAAGTAGAGCATATTCATGGAATTTTGAAATGGCAAGGCTTATAGATCTATTAGAATAAAAGGACTTTTTAGTCGAGCATTGTCAATCCTAGTTCAATGAAAACTTAATACTTCATTTAACTGACTATCCGTGGGATGCGTTCAGAAATCTTACTCGGGGTAATTCGAGTACGTTGCGTCTCTTTTTATTATCGTCATTATAAAGAGAATAGACTGATACTAGAATTGACTCTGGAAAGGTTTCTGAACGTACCTCCGAAGCGAGTTTGGTTTTAGTAAATGACTCCAAAAGCAAAAATTCAAATTGCGCGAGTTGCTCTCTCCCTCTCTCTCCCTCTCTCTCCCTCTCTCCCCCATGACGATGGTATGTCTAGTGCTCAACGTAGCGTTCAGTACTAATAAGCCGAGTGAAGCCGAGTGAAGCCGAGCGACAGGGTCGCAGGATCAACCCCGTATCGGAGCCGATTCTCTCTGCGAGTAGCATCGCGCAGTGACTTCGGTTTCCATAAAATCCGCCAAGCTGTTCAGGGAGGCGCCGTTTCGGACGTGCGTTTGGCTCTCGACCGAGTTACGCAGCTTTTCTCTCCTCGCAATTCCTTCCTTGTTCTTGTTTCAATCGAGGCACGTGGCGCAGGCTGCAATTCTTTTCGGATTATAACGTGGATGGCGGCGATGGAAGAGACAATGGCAGTGATAGGGGTACCACGCTTGCAACAATGCTCGTTTTCATCCAATTCTAATAATAGAATTGAACGTTCTGAATGTACGTGCCAACAATGGTTATCCGTATAATCCTCGCCGAGCGAATCGTTTGCTATTTCCGCCGACACCTGCGCACGTGCGGGAACGCGTGAATATAATTAGAAAAAGTTAAATAGTGCATATCCCGTGCAATTCCGTTCGGCGCAGAAACTTATTCACGTAACATGATGGACCACCAAGTTCAGGGGGAAACTGGGATGTTTTGAAAATTCAACTATTACGGAATTTCAAAGTAGACTTACGAAACTATATGAAAAACCTTTTATATTACGCCCATAATGTCTTATTGGATTATAAGAACGTGATATGCTAATGCGCTATCACGTACGAACCAATGCGATTGTCATACATAGAAACAATTCACTACTACCGAAATGCCGAAATGCCGAAATGCCGAAATGCCGAAATGCCGAAATGCCGAAATGCACGAAAGGCAAAGTGAGAAGAATTCATAATGGCAGCAGTCGCGGGGTGTTACTGGTTACTGGGAGGATAGACGCGTACATGCTAATCGTTAATTCTGCAGCGCACTGTCCTCTTTGGAGAACGGGATGGGCGTCGCGACGACACTACTGGCTCCCACGGACGAGTGGCTACCTCGTTTCGCAATGTAAATTGAAAAAGCAGCCCCATTATAAATAATTTAAATGCATTGCTTTCGAAGAAACGAGAAATATGGCAAACGGGAAGGTTAACGTTCGCCAGCAATGGAGTGGGCAGTAGTTTTCCAACTGGCTGGCTAGAATTCACGACCCCGATGCACTTTGTTACCCTTTTTTCAAAGTCCCCCAATTCTCTTTCTCCTCTTCGTTCATTTTTATGCTTTCTAGGGACATCGGGTTCAGGTAGCGTTAATCGTGCTTGGCACGAGCCCTTTCGAATTCACGTGGCTCCTCTTGGAAATTCAGTTGAATTAGGAGAGAGTCAAGCAGAGCAGAGAGGAAACAAGAAGGGGCGGAAGTCGAAAGGAGAGCCTCGAGAAGGAAGGTACGAAATGTTGAATCGCAGGATCGATTCGAAGGAGATTCATCGATCGATGGTAAAGCTGCGTGGGCGATTCGATAATTTCTTATCGAGGCTGCCGATTACCGAGAAAAGGACTCTTTAGAAAGTTTCCTAATCATCTAAACGTTTATCAGTTTATATCCCGGTGTCACTGTAAGGGGTTAAGGGCGCAGCTATCAATTTTGTTAGTCTATGCGAAGTCATTCTTTGGGGCTATTTCCTGTCAGATACTCATAGTGGGAATAATGACGATAACGATAGCAGCGTTAGTACTAATAGTATTTGTAACAGAGGGGATGATGATGGAAGCCTGCCCAGTCTAAAGGAGAAAGGAAAAAAGAGAAAGGCGCATGTTTATTTTTTGCCCAGTCACGCAAACGGCTACTCCCCCTTATATTATGCACGCGCCGTATGCACAATAGTTACTATTAGAATCGGATTCAAGCGCATTGTCCTTCCCCTCCTCCCTGACGCCCTCTTGGCCCTAAACACGTCAGCGCGCTAAGGCAATCTAGGTCCTGAGTCTCATGAGTCGCAACCGAAGGCCTTTTGGCGATTTCAGCGATAGTCCGTTCCACAGACTCCGGTCCAGCAACAATACCAATAAGCTCTAAATACTGGTAGATGTCTTCGGTAAGCAAGTATTTTCCATAGTTTAGCTTCCGCATTAATAATTCAACTTGAGAGGCGTATTTTCAATTTGACGGGCTTTTCCTAAGAATCCTTAATCCCTTAGCGTGGAAATATAGTTGACGGTCGACCCACAGCCCCCTGAAGTCACATCTTCAGGCTCTTTCCACCAATTGTTACTCTACTCTGTTTTTCTCATCCCGCCACAGCCCGCTTCAAGGGGTGCGACATCCCTTCTTCGGCTCTTTTTCGCGTCTAGTGCCAGACGAGAGGGAGAAGCGGAATCCGCGAGAAGAGTCTGCTAGTTCGGGCATCGAGAGCAGGATTACTCCCACGGAGCCTAATCAGCCAGATTGCCTGCAATTTACCGCCCTTATCTTCACCCAGGAACCACCACCACCCTCCGTGTCTGTGTTTCCCCCTCTTCGTCGCCCCTCTCAACTAAAGGGGTGCATCCCCCCTTCTGACAACTCTATCCCGAGAGTCCAGGAGAGGAAGCAGGATGAGCGCCCATGGGCCATGTCCTTTCATTTCCTTTCACTTTCTTCTCTTTCTTTCCCGTCTTCTCTGTAGAGAAGATCTGTGTCTAACGTCCATCGCATCCAACGTTACTTCCCCCCGCTTGCCTCTCTTATCCTTTTTGAATCTCTGGAAAGGGTTCCTCGAGAGTGTCCTTGGCCGCGGAATCCGTGACCGGAGACCCCGGAGTTAAATTACTGTTCACTCCGAGACAGAGCGGGAGAGAAGTAGAAGGATCAAAGAAGATCGAGGGTAGCGCTTTCTTTTTCTTACTGGATCCGCTTCTATTATACCGCTTACGTACTGTATCTATATCTGTGTGTTATTATTAAGCGCCTCGGATGTACATTCCTCTACTACATTGGAACGTCACGGAGACTCATTTGATCCTTTTAAAGAGATATTTCAATTTACCTGCAGCTTCTTGCACTAAAGGCATTAAGTGGGAACGCAAAGAGAACAAATTAGTTTAAACCATGCGCGGCGATAGAATGCAGCTTGATAAGAATATCAGCTATGGTAGCCTAAATTAAATTAATACGAAATTCAAATTTGATAGATAACGCCCGAGTAGGTGCTGTATAAAGTTTGACTGAGCTATAGGACGACATTGCACCCCGTAACTTAACTTTTTACTGAAAAGTTCGAGGGACAGATTGAATTAAAAGGAAATAAATAATTAGGGCGCGATTAAAACAAGTACCGATCCTTCTGGCCGATACTCGCGAAACGTAACAACATGTATATGTGCGCATGCGCACGTATACCAGTGAAAGGACAGATGGTTGGGCCGTGTCATCAGTTCCACCCACGCTCAGGAAACTCTTTTACACTACGAGTAAAAAGTCCTGAGAAGACTTGTGGACGATCTTCAAAGATGGAACTGACGTCGCAGCTTCTAAATAGCTACAGAATTGTAAATTGTTAGATGCAACACTCACCGGCGTTATTACTCACGAAATTTAGATCCTTACCTGAAACAGAGAAACATAATAAGTGTTATTGAGTCGTTCGATCAGTGCGTTATCTTGTTATCTAGCTATTGTCAGTATAGACTCTCTTCTTCAAAGTTCTTTGCTTCTCGAGAGCGTGCAAGCTCGCGATGGCGCACCTTGCTTGGATTGCTCGTACGCGAAATATATTAAAGTCCCTGGTTTTATTCATGCGCTACGCGAAGGACTTTGAACGGGAAGCAACACACAGGACTACTCGAGCGAGCTGGCGTTACGTTTATGGCGGTCTGGCCGGACCGACTAGGGATACTGAAAGGATAAATGGTGAGATTTGCCATGCGTCCGGAACATCCTGAAGGAAGGGTGACTCGGCCTCTTGAACGGAGCATCGTCCTGGTGATCCTCTATACTTTCTTACGGACTTGCGTACCGTCGACCTTACGCGATCCATTCCTATGTCCCTGTCGTCCGATTCTACTCTCTGAATAACCTTTTTCTCCATCTCCCACTCTCGCCTTTTACTTTTTCTTCCCTCAAGATAACACAAAGACATCTTTACTAGATGATACTTTATTCTATTTTTATTTTTATTTCTTTTTTTCCCTTCCTTCTGTCCTTTCACCTCGTTTTTTTCTCCCGCCTCTTGGTTTCCTGTTCGCATGACTCTTCCTTTTCATGTGATCTCCTACCGTAGGACTTACGGCTTTTTCCGATTTCCTTGGCAGGATCTCTTTTCCCTCAAATTCGTGATCCTTATGTTTTAGATTAGCGAGGCTTTGTTGCTGCACATGTAGAACACGAAAAGCCTGACTGAAAAGGAGGGACGTAACGATTCAGAGCCACGCTTGGGGCCAGCAGGACCCACGAACAGCTTATCTCTGGCCGTAGGGCTAATTGTCCGATTGGTTCGTAATAGTGAGGACATGTGGCTGTAGGAAGGCAAAGGAAATCGAAACGTGTCGAGAGAAGCGATTGATTAGGAACAGGAGCGCACTTTTGTGCTTGTCTTACATATTTCCAGGCGAAAGAGGCCGAATTTTATTATGGAACAAAAGAAAATTGGAGGAGGTAGAAATTGAAAACACGTACAGGCGGGAAGGGTAGAAGCGTAGTGAGTAAAATATCCGTTTGACTAAACGTGATTAGTGCCGACAATTTGTGATCGCGTGGTTAACAAGCTCTTTGTGCTTTTTGGACAGGTCGATCAGCAGGATCATGAAAACGGTGCTGGAAAAGCGATCCTGCGGAGAAGAAATTCTAATTTTTTGCGAGGAAACGCCTCGAGCTTTACGGACTGGGAAAGTCAATTGAGAGAAAATCCGGGGAAACGGATCAAGTTCTGCTCGGCAATTATAGTAAAAACCCTTTTAACAAACTGGCTTTGATCTTCCGAGTTTATCGGAGATTCACGAATTAAAGCTTGGCTTCCTTCGGTAACCAATATCATTGAGTTTTACAATACGAGTCAAGAGAAAAGCAGAAAAACAAATGAGAGGCGAACGAGAGAAAGAAGAAACCTTCATCGTGCAATTTTGACGAAGCACATGTTGCGCAATCGGCATTCGCCGTAGAGGAAGAAGGAAAGCGATAGAGAGAAGGAAAGTGAAAGAGCGAGGAAGTCGATGTTCACAAAGGCGTGCTGGCTCGACCGCAGGAGAGATGGGTGCATGGGTGCTCCGGGGGTGCATGCAGGACGAGAGGGTCGAGTGGGTAAGGGTGCACGAGTAAAGGGGAGGCTAGTGCGATGCCGAACGGTCGAAAGTGGTGGGAGCGGGAGGGGGCAGGAGGAGGCTCCGTGTGTAGAGTTTAGAGAGTGGAAACTCGTAAGAACGGAAAACTGAAAAATAGTTGGCACGGTTGCCATGGCCACTAAGTAGCTAAGTTGGGCCGACAGGACTGAGCGCCAACCACTGCCGACCATTGCCAAGCATTGCCAACCATTGGCAACCATTGGCAACCATTGCCAATCATCGGGAACCAGGGAAACCCGTTTCGATTTTATTATTATTCGGGGGCTCATTCTTCGAGCGAATAGAGAGAGCTTTTTAGCTCGGCCAATAGCTCGGCGCCTTGACTTTCATGTGGATCCGTCGCATGGGCACATGGCTAGATATATACAGATGGTTATATGCAGCTGGCTGAGCACATAGGTGCTGGCTGCTTGGATAGATAGGTCCGGGAATGGCGAAAGACGACATTCGGATGTCTACAAGTAAGAAAGTACATTCACTGACACCTTTACCGATCGAGAACTAATACACCTTGAGACTTGATAAAATATTGGACGTGTCTGCGACGTCCATTGTTCCTTTATTTCCGGCCAGCATATATGTAGTTATAATAGCGCGGAGCTATCGCCGGCTTAATTCATCTTATCTTATATATTCTCAGCTATTCTCCATTCTCCATTTCCACCTTATACTCATTTTTCTTCTTTTCTCTTTTACTTCTTCTTCTCCCTTTCGAGCATTCGACAGCCAACAGCAGCGGAGCGAAGGAGAAAATCTATAATAGTTTATTGTGTTCTCAAATAGTTTGTATCGACTTTCCATATGGTATTGGAACGAAAGAAAGGCTAACCGGTTAAAATGGATAGATCAAGGAGAAGGAAGTGAAGAAAGGAAGGAGAGAAGGATGGAGCTCGAGTATCACTGTGGAAATTTCATAGGAGAATGGGCTTCCAAAGAGATCGTCTTCTCTTCGACGGGTGCGCAGGTGGACTCGCAATTCTACGAAAACATCGCGCGTGCTCGCGTGCGCTCGCTCAGGGTCGCTGCTTGGCCTTCGCAATACGTTAACGGGAGAACCAAGCAACGGCTGATTTCCACAACTTTGACTACTCTGCAGGTTCCAATCGCTAATTCGTCGTTCCCCTTTCTCAACTTCTCCTTGTAGATACTTGCTGGAATAAATAGCTCAACCATTTCGTATGTAAATGAATCCAAGATATTAAGTTATGAGGTGCAGTACGTCTTCCTGTCCGCGCAAATTAAACGGCTTCTTGGAGCTCAACACGTTTCACGGAACGTTTACGTGAAATTTCGACAATCCTTCTTCCGCGGGATATCTCGCGCTTCGTATTGCTTCCCTTGGATGACTACTTCCTGTCCCGCCTGTCCCGCCTGTTCGGCTTCCTCGTGCCACCCTCCAATGAGCCAATGCATTCCCGAAGAGTAGAGTAGACGGGCGTTGTAATATGAAAAATTGTTATCAGGTTATCGCGTATAATAGGGAGGAAGGGGTATATTCCTGATTGGACCAATTGTATTGTCGGATGATATGAAATCGACAGGGTGTGTGCGCCGGTGGTAGTAAGGCAGGCGTAAAGAAATGGCGTGACGCGGAACGCAGGGATGGCACGGAAAGAGGAAGGAAATGCGCACCATTCTTGGGCTTGGACGAACCCTCGTGACAAGGGGAAGAAAAACATTTAGGTAAAAAATAGCCGAGAGTTTTGGGCTGTTCATCCCTTTCAGAGGGTGGAGTGTCACCGAGCAGTGGGATATGGACCGAAAACGGATGGGATCCTACCCACTATGGGAAAAATGTATTTTCTCAAAATTATTCCCCCCGCCCACTTTCATCGCTCACTCCTCCTACTCCTTTTCACACGCGTCCAATCGAGGTCTCTTCTACAGTCTCGAGTGTTCCCCTTCCATCCCCTCTCGCGCTTCCACCTTCGTGTCTCTCGGGTATCGAGCTTGCCCGGTTCTTCTCCGAGTTCTCGTGAAAACGACAATTTTTTTCCAGAGCGACTCCTTTTGCCATTCCTCGTTTCTTCACGGTAAGCCGCACTTTTGCAGCACGCTAATAAATCCGAGAGAGAGAGAGAGAGAGAGAGAGAGAGAGAGAGAGAGAGAAAGAGAAGGGGCGGGGGGTGAGAGGGAGTTTACATTGACCGAGAAGATGTAGAACTTTGTGCCACCGAAGAACCGATCCTTCTCAACCAACGTCGGACTCGAGGATTCCACTCTGAATTCCCAAGCAGTAGCAATTCCCCATCCTCTTGTCCTTTCGTTGCTATATTATCCTTTTTTGTTTCTCTCATGCTCTCCTTTAATCGATGATTCGACAGATTAAGTCGAAGCTCGCAGTTGCGTTAACTAATCAACCTTATCAATTGCTAACCACGTGATCGATCGATCAATCATTTAACCCTATCCCATATAACCAGAAACAAAGCATACGTGGCATCTTGATGGATGCTGAGGAATGTGCAAGAATTTACAGAAAGAAAATTCTAGTTCAGAAAGAAAGTTCTAATTGATTTTTGGCCGATACACCAGTCGTCACACATGTCGCCATTATATCTATTGTGCATTTATTGTGGAAAGATTATACTACACGTGCTACAGATGTGTGCATCTAGGTGTAGATATACGACGCACGTAGAAATCCCACGGCTCCATTTTCCAATAATATGACTTTTCCGCCGGCATGGACTTTAATCTTGTCAGCCTCGCAGGAGAGTTAGAAAAGTATAGTTCAGGTAATATATCGCAATATCGTAACATCTACGTGTGCGAGCGCAGTTGTACCTTCCTGTGCATCTTCCTAATCCTCACACAGGATGTCAGCCACTGCAGGACGCTATAGATGGTATTGTATAGTGGAAGAAGCGAAAGAGTCTCGAATTTACCGTAATAAATAGTTTTGCCTTCCGAAAATCCTTGCATTCAGTGGGATTCACACGTCGGTACGCGGTGAATAACGACGCACGTAACAAATTCCGTAAAATCTAAAAATCCAAATTCAGCCGATATCTATAAAATCGGACATTCCGTGCGGAATAACGAGATTGTTTCGGTATTCGTCGAACTTCGATATCGCTGCCACGCGCACAGGCACCCAGGCGCACAGGCGCCCAGGCGCACAGGCGCACAGGCCACTTTGCACTCGAGTAATACTTGCATTTTTCCAATGCAACTTAAGCCCCTTTGGTACTGCCCGTATAAAAACTCCAATTTACTGTGCGATTCGGCAAAATCGAAAGTATTCCCGTTTGGGAATAACGTACTAGC